CAGTCGGTGCTGACCCATAATCCCATAGGTATGTTCTATGGTACCCAAAACCTGCTTTGGGGGATGTGTTTGGTCATGGGTGAAGCATCCCTTCCACTGGACCTCACAGGACACAGCATTCCTGTGATTTCTTTCCTCTTCTTTTGTTCTTTTGGGTGGCCTTCACGGGCAGGTCCTTCCCACTGATTCCGAGTTCTCAAGGCAGAGAGATATATGGCTCATGGAGGATGCTCCAGTAAGCAGGGCCTACTGAGGGATCTCTAGCAGTGATTATAACCCCAAGTGAAATTAAAAATGGCATGAGACTGACAGGATGGGGTACGGATGGGGCACTTTCCTATTTCATACTATAGGGACATGTTTGCATCCATATTGTGGTATGGAGTTGGCACATGCACACAATTAATAGCTTAGCATGTACACACTGTTAATGGCTTTCTGTTCTGAGTTAACTCTGCAATCCAGCTGGCTCCTGGAGGAGTAAGGGATGATGCCAGCAGGTGTTAACTAACTCAGTGTTCCAGGAAGTGCCCAGTCCAGAGGGTCAGAATAAAAGAAAAGTATAAGCGAGTAGTGATGAGAGGGGCACAGACACAAGTCTCAGAAATGTGGCTGAGGCAATCTCAGTGCCAGGTGTGGGATACCTCACTACTAATTATTGGTCAGGGAGGCCCCAGAGGACCCCAAATCAACTTAGGCTATTGCCATTGCTCTTGGTTTCCCACCAGAACTAGATGGTACCGTATTGCCAAAGAGACAACACACTTTGGCTGCAGGACACAGAGAAATCTGAAAACTTTTCCCTGCTGACCAGCTTTCACAGAGCCAGAAGGTACTATGCAGGTTGGGGTGGTGGTGGTGAGAAAAGACATCAGTGGTATCATTGGAGGCAAACCTGCTGTTACAATACCAACCTACCAGGCAAGCTGTGCCCACTGGTGCAATAGTGGCTCAGCAGTTATGGGGGTAACAGTTGCTTTTGGATTGGATTTGAGGCGTGTTCCACAGGAACAAATTCATGCCTGGTACTGTAAATGCAGTCAAAACCTAGGAATGATGAGATCATAAGCTTTAGGGAGGGGACCTACTGCTGTTTTGTTAAATGGTCAAACTGCATTCTAAATATTTATGTTTATATCCATAGATTAGTGCTTCCCTCAACCTTGTTCAGAGAAGCTTCTCTCTGCAGTGGTCAGCAGTTAAGGCAAAGACTATTAATAGCCTTTTCAATGTGCTAAGAATGAGTGACTATTGAGTGTTCAGCTCTAAATGGGACATCTATATCACAGAGAGAGAGAGAGAGAGAGAGAGAGAGAGAGAGAGAGAGAGAGAGAGAAATGCTCAGTGAACATCAGGGAAGAGCCGGAAGAATGGAAGAGCTGGAAGATGGGGAGGGATGCTGGGAAATGCTGCCTTCTGGACATGACATGGCTATTGCACTCATGGACTCACAGCACCTGTGGTTACATGCACAAGATGAGGTCAACAAGATCAGTCAGCATTCCAATAGGCAGCACTAATTGGATTCAGTGAGTAATTAGCTGAGAGTGTGTGTGTGTGTGTGTGTGTGTGTGTGTGTGTGTGTGTGTGAGAGAGAGAGAGAGAGAGAGAGAGAGAGAGAGAGAGAGAGAGAGAGAGAGCAAGAGAGAAGGGAGGAGTGTAGTGGGAAGGAATATATTGGGTTCCAAGGGGAGTTGGGGGTATATAAAATCAAGATATATTGTTTACATGTTTGAAATTGTCAAAGAATAAAAGATATTATTTAAAAAAGAAAAGAAACAATGAAAGCCATTTGACTAGGGGTGAGGCTAAGCTTGCGGATGACTGACTGCTTTTGTCCCCTCCCCATGAACCCTGCTGGCTAGAGATGGCACACTAAGGCCCTATTTTCCTAGAATTAACCACTGCTTCCTCAGATTTGTCAGGCACTTTTGAGCTAAGCTCAACTGAAAGACTCATTTCCTGCTCTACCCATCATGAGCTCAGGTTTGGCAAGACTGGAGACCAGGTTTGGCAAGATTTGAAGTTTGTGTATAATCTGGCTCTGATTTTCTACCACCCTACTGCCTTGTGTGGAAAACTGATTCCTGGTGGGAGTCAGGTCTTCAGAAGGGAGCTCAGGCCACCCCCAAAAGATGTCTCTACATCAAGTCAGTGTGTCTCAGAGGTTGGATCAGTCGGTTAATGTTAAACCATGATGCACAAAAGAAATTGCCCACACCCCAGTGGCTTCAATGATTTAGGCTTATTTCCTGTTCATATTACATATCCATTGCAGGTAGGTGGTGGGAATTGGGGATTCTGTGTTGTGATCACCAGAAGTATGACTGGCAGATGAAGACTTTAACCTGAGGGGTCCTTCCGGGCAGTGACCCACAGGTTCTGCCTGGAAATGAACCTCACATGCCACTAGCCAGGTGAAGCCACCACACTGTGAGGGCTCAGAAGAGGAAGAACAGTGTATTTTTTAATAACCTGAGACAGTGACAGGGCACGGGGCGAACTGTTGGCTGGGAATGGTTGGGAGCGGGCTGGGTCTTCCTCCCCAGGACTAAGCCCATGCAGACACACACAGGCAGGCCCTAGAAGAATGCAGAATTTGGGAGTTTTTCTCAGCCCTGTGAGCTTTCCCTGCTTCCAACTCTCTTGGAGGACTGTGAAATCTGATTTAGACTCAGCCAGGCTTAGTAATTCTACCCTCATGTGGGTGTCAGCAGCCTCGGGGCTGGGATAGAAAATCCTCAGGAGGGCTGATGAGATGCCTTTGCAAGTAAAGGTGCTTGCTGCCAACCCTGAAGACCTGAGTTTGATCTCTGTAACCACGTGGTGGAGGAAGAGACCAAAATACCTGCAAGTTGTACAATGATCTCCACAAATACATTGCCCCCCCATCTCTCTGTCTCTCTCTGTGTCTCTGTCTGTCTGTGTCTCTGTCTGTGTCTCTGTCTCTCTGTCTCTCTCTCTCTCTCTCTCTCTCTCTCTCACACACACACACACACACACACACACGGATCCTAAAAATTTAAAAAGAAATTTTAATTACATTTTTATTTATTCTCTTCTCTCTCTCTCTTCTCTCTCTCTCTCTCTCTCTCTCTCTCTCTCTCCTTTCTCTCCTTTCTCTGTTTTAAACTATCAGGAATGGGGGCTGGAGAGATGGTTCAGCAGTTAAGAGTACTGGCTGCTCTTACAAAGGACCCAGGTTCGATTCCCAGCACCCATATGGCAGCTAACAACTGTCTGTAACTCTAGTTCTAGTAGATCTGATGCCCTCTTCTGACCTCCATAGGCACTGCACAACATGGGTGCACTTACACACATGCAGGCAATACCCTCACACACACATTAAATAAAAAATAATAAATAAGGGACTAGAGAGATGGCTCAGTGGTTAAGAACACTGGTTGTTCTTGCAGAAGACCTAGGTTCGAATCCCAGCACCCACATGGCAGCTAACACCTGTCCATAACTCCAGTTACAGGGGATCCAATGGCCTCTTCTGTCTTCCAGCATTGCACAACACAGGTGCACTTACATACATGCAGGCAATACATGCATACACATAAAATGAAAATAATAAAATATTTTTTAAAAACTGTCAGGAACTGGGGCTGGACAGATGGCTCAGCAGTTGAGAACACTGGTTGTACTTGGAGAGAACCCGGGTTCGAATCCTAGCACCCACATGGTAGCAAACAACTGTCCGTAACTCCAGTCCCAGGGGATCTGACAGCCTCTTCTGACCTCTACAGGCATTGCATGACATGGGTGCACTTAACCTATATGCAGGCAATACACACATATACTATAAAATAAAAAAATAAATAAAAATAAAAAATTAAATTGTCAGGAACTAAGAAGAAAAAAGTAAAGTCAGGATAGAAACAGAATTAAAAAGCATAAAAGAAACAGAATCCAGGGGTACCCCTGCCTTTGCCAGGAGTGTTGAACAAAAAAGAACAGAAGGTTGGGATGAATGGGCTGAAGGGACATGTCCTTTGCACAGTGATACTGGGCATGCCACATGCTGTCAGGAACAGGGGAAAGGTAGAAGGGCTGTGCTTCTCAGCCAACCTCAGCAAAGGCCAAGCTCTTATAATGAGTTGTGGGAGGCAGGATGGGGGTGAGGCAATGTTGGGGCTGCTGTGCAGCCTGGAACCCACTTTCCTCTGTCTGGACCAGCCTGCTGCCTGTCCCTCCCCAGTTAAGCCACTTCAGGTATAGGGGTAGCTGTTGTGTTCTCTGGGAATGAACAAATGGTGGGCCTGTGAGGGTTCCACATTTATTCCTTGGGGGTTTGAACCTCTCGAACTAGAGACAGCAGGCTGCACTGAGCCAGCTGAACCTTTGCAGGCCACCCACAGCTGTCCTAGGCCTTGTTAAAGGTCATTCCCAACCTTGACAACTCAAGTCCCTACAGCTGGCCCAGGCATCAGGGCCCTCCAGGCCAGCCCAAAACTGTCTTAAGGACCAGAGTCTGTGAATGTGATGGTTAGCTTTAGTTGTCAACCTGACACAACCAAGAATCACCTGGGAACAGTTTCAATGAGGGATTATATGTGTATGGTATTGGCCTGTGGGCAAGTCTGTGGAGGATTATTTCAAATTAATTGACATGGAAGACCTAGCTGTCCTAGTTTGTTCTTCATTGCTGTGACAAAACACTCTGACCAATACCAACTTGGGGAGGAAAAGGTTTATTCAGCTTACAACTCCCAGGTCGCAGTTCATCAGGGAGCCCAAGGTAGGAGGAACTCAGGGCAGGAACCTGGAGGCAGGAGCTGGAGCACAGGCCATGGAGGAACGATGCTTACTGGCTTGCTCCCTTGGCCCCTGCTCAGCCTGCTTTCTTATCCAACACAGGCCCACCTGCCCAGGGGTGGCACCACCCACAGTGGGCTGGGCCCTCCCACATCACTCATCAAGAAGATGCCCTTCAGACATGGCCACAGGCCAGTCCAATAGAGGCAGTTCCCCGATTGAGGCTCCCTCAACCCAGGTGTGTCAAGTTGACACTAAAGCTATCCAGCACACTAGCCTACTGTAGGCAGCACCATTCCCTAGGAAATGGATCTTGAACTGTATAATAGCGGAGAAACTGAGCTGAGTGAACACAAGCAAGCAGGTGAGCGCGCATGGATTCATTACCCTCTGCACTTGACTGGATGTGATGTGGCCAGCTGCTTGAAGTTCCTGCCTTGACTTCCCCACAACGATGTACTGTAACGTGGAATTGCAAGCTGAAATAAACTCCATTCTCCCTTAAGTTGCTCTTTGTCAGGGTTTTTTATTTAATCAAAACAGCAATAGAAATAAACCAACAACACTTAAAAGCCCTTGTGGAACTGCACCCCCAGGCTCCGTGGGTTGTCTCATTCCTGATAGCCACAGCTTTGGGCAACCCCACACACACCTTCTGGGGTTTCACCCCCTAATCCCCAATGGGTCCAGTACCCAGGGAAACACCAATTTTACCTTTTCCTGGAGGGTGGGGGGTGGAGTGGGGAGTGGGGAGCTGGAGTTTCCTGCCAGAAATATACAGAATGTAATGTACCTCCTGCTTTCCTAAATCTTTCCTTTCTGGGTCTTTGGGGCATAGAGCGTTCCTGGGATCTGGGAAACAGAAGTGCTTGGCTCTCAGTTACATCTCTGTGCCTCAGCCTACCTGTTTGCAAAACCTAGACATTTCTACATTATGGGCATTTCTACATTATGGAGACATTAATACAAAGTGCTGGATGGTCTTTGGAAGAAAATTTCTTACCAGATTTTGTCTTTGAGGTCTCCTCACTTCTTCCCTGGAACTTTCTAGAATAGGTTGATTAGGCCAAACCACAGAGGGAAACTCAGAAACTGATGCAATTTGGGAAGAGAATAGTCTCAGGCCTGGGGACATTCTAAAGGTAGGCAGTGATTTCTTCCCAGTGCTTTTAGCTCAAAGGGAAATCAAGTTCAATGCTACTGGTCCTTACAGTGCTGCCTTTGAGCCAGAAAATCCAACAATGCCCACCCCTAGCCCCAGGGAGGACAGTGTGTGTGTGTGTGTGTGTGTGTGTGTGTGTGTGTGTGTGTGTATCTCGTGTCCTGTGTCCCTTCAGAAATGAGGCAAAGCCTGTAGAAAAGGCCTCCAGGGGTGGGTCACTCTGGGCACCAGGCCAAGTTGCTGCAGCTGCAGCCGTGTGGGCCCATAGGCCGCGAGGCTGCTGTAGGGAGCAGGTGCTCCCTCGTGGGGCCTTATGGGGACAAGGAGGGCCTGTGGGGCTGCGGCTTTCCAGGGGCTGTGGTAGGGCTGAAGCCTGGGAACGGAGGTGGGGATCGGGGCCAGGGGACTGCCCGGCCCTGACGACGTGGACACACTGTAGTTGTGGGGGTTGCTGCCTCTGGACAGGCTGCTGAAAGGGTTGGAGGATGTGCGGTCACTGGCCGAGCCTCTGCTGCTACTGAGGCGGCCATTGGGGGCGTCGGGGACCTTGCCAGGCTGGAGCCTGGTGACCAGCCTGGGGGACTTCAGGCCCATCAGGGGCTTGGAGGAGGCATAGAGGCGCCGGAACTCCTCATCAAATAGCTCCACTGCTTGGCCGGTGAACTTGGAAAGGATGTTCCGGTGCACATGTCCGCAGAGCCAGGAGAAGCTGGAGGTGGAGAGGAGAAAGCGACCGGTGAGAAAGCCCTCAGAGCTGCTCACTCTGTGCTCTGCTCCTCTGTGCAGGTGCATGTCATCCCGGCAGGCAGAAGGCCCAATTATTAAAACCTTGGTTAGCTTTGCCCTTCCCTTACACTTGGCAGCACCAAGGCCCAGGAACCAGGGCTTGTTTGCAAGTTAGCCACAGAGATGCCAGAGTGAGCCCCTGGCCTCAAGGCCCCTCCTAGTGCTCAGATCCCGGCTTCTAAGGACCCCTCCTCTTACACCCTGACCCTGAAAGTGATGAATGTGAGCTGAGTCCCCTCTGCCCCTGCTATGCTCACAAGACTCATCTGATGGGGAGGGTGTGTGTGTGGGGGGATACTCTTAGTGTTTCCCCACCAGCCTCCTGCTGCTGACACTTAGCTCCAAAACGGCCTCAAAAGGGTGGCTGTGCCTTGGAAGGTAGGGTTGGGTTTCCATGAAAATCTAAACCATTCAAACTTGGAGAGGTGGCACAGGCCTGTTATCTCAGCACTGGAGGGGGTTGGGGGGCAGTGGAGGTATGTATCTGAGGCAGGAGGATTACTGTGAGTTCCAGGCCAGCCTCCTAAATAAATAAATAAATAATAAATAAATAAAGGGCTCTTGGCTTAGCCCATTTTGCTCTTTGCAAAATGGAAAAGGGAATGCAAGTTGAGCCCACAGGAACCAGACAACCTACAGCTGCAACTGACGCAAGAAAGTCACCCAAACACTAACGAGAGGATACCTTCGAGAACGGATCTTAGCCCCCCATTTAGAGGTTTTTGGTTAAAAAATATTTAAGGCACTTTTATCTGTATGATTCTCTTACTTAGCAAATTCTTTCCTGTCTTTGTTGGAAAACACCCTCTCAATTTCCTGAAAACCCAATGACAGCAGAGATGTTCCACCAAGAGCTCAGGATGGAGATTCTTGGGTGATGACTCAGATGGGCCATGCCTAGGGCAGGGAACAATGCAGGGAGGAAGGTCAGAAAGAGCCAGAGTATCCAAAGGGTGGGCAGTGCCAGAGATGATCAGATACAGACAAACCTGCTAGCTTCCTGCCCCCTGCCTGCCCCCATTCAGTTCTGACCCCAGACTGGGTGAGGTTCCCTGTTATGTGAAGCAGGACAGGCCCACACAGGCTGAGATAATCCTGGGAACAACCAGGAGGCTTTGTTTAAATCTCTCCTCCCACCTGGGAGCACCCACAGTTTGGAGAGGTGAGCCACCAAGGTGGCCAACCAGGTGGCAGGGAAGGAGGTGAATGGCAGGGTTTGGCTAGACTGAGAAACCAATCATGATGCATTGTTTGGAACCAGGCAAGATTAGGACACATAGGTGTGTGTGCCTTGCTCAACAAAACAAGTCCAAAGACGCCTTGGCAGCTTTTTAGGCCCCTGCATGTCCTTCTGTCCCCAGTGTGCCTCCAAGCACTCCTTCTTTACCAAACCCAGAGGAAGGCATTTCATTATTTATTGTGTTTTGGCCTGAAGGAGTAGCAGCATACTTCATAATCTTTATCTGGTGGCCCACCCCCCTCACTGGCCTATTTAACTCATTTCACTACTTAATTTTAAAAATTTAAATAATGACATTAGCACTCCCTAAAATCAAAGCCTCCTTTAAAATTTTATTTATTATTTTTATTTTATGTGTATGTATGTATTGCCTGCATGTAGGTAGGTACACCTGTGTCATGCAGTGTCCACAGATAGACACCTCTGGAACTGGAGTTACAGTTGTTATCTGCCATGTGAGTTCTGGGAATCAAACCCAGGTCCTCTGCAAGAGCAGCTAGTTGTCTTAACTGCTGAGCCATCTCTCCAGCCCCCAAATTTTATTTATTATTAATGTGCATATGTGTATGATGTGTGCCTGAGTGTAGGCACAACCATGTGGCGCATTTGTGGAGGTCGAAGGACAACTTTCAGGAGTCGGTTCTCTCCTTCCACTGTGGGTTCCGGAGATCAAAATCAGATCATCAGGCTTGCATGGCAAGCACCTTTACCAGCCTCGCTGCCTCACCAGCCCTAGCCTCTGGCTCATAGCTCACAGGTATCTTCAGGGTCCTCCTGGCAACTTCTGCCTAGGGTCCTGAGCTAGCAAAAGTCAGCATAATAAATCCTGAGGTCATAGAGCCTGCATCAGTTACTTTTGCATTGCTGGGATCAACATACCTGTCAGGAACAACTCAGGGGAGGAGAGGTTTGTTTTTGCTTATGGTGTCCAAGAATTTAGTCTATCATGGGGAAGGCATGGTGGCTTGAATGTATGGTGCGGCTGTTCACATGGTGGATTAGAAGCAGACAGAGCAAGCTAGAACCAGGGGCCAGACTGTAACTTTCAAAGGCTCACCCCATGTAGCCTGCTTCTGCCATGTAGACCCTGCCTCCTAAAGGTTCCACAGCCTCCCAGAACAGCACCACTAATGGGGAAAAAGGTCTAAACCGTAGGCATGTGAGGGACATCTTTTATCAAACCATACCACCACCCTTTGTAATTAGCAATGATGCTTTATGCTACTCCTGAAAGTGTTTGTTTTAATTGTTTTTAACATCTGTTTAGTTTTTTAGAATTCTTTTCATTTAATATTACATTGCTAAGATGCACCTGTATTATTGCTTGCCGTACTTTAGTTTTCACTGTTACTATTCTAACAGCTATTTCACCAATCAGGCAGGCATTGGGTTGTTTCTGTCACCAACTAATGCTCTGAACATTCTCATATATGTCTTCCACGAACATGTGGATAAGCTTCTCTAAAATATATACCTAGGAGTGGAATTTTAAATGCTTTTTCTTAAAATTTTTTTAACTTATTTTGTGTGTATGAGTATTTTGCCTGCATGTATGTAAGTGCACCATGTGTATGCAATGCCCACAGAGGCCAGAAGAGGGCATTGGACCTCCTGGAACTGGAGTTACAGAAGATTGTTAGCTATGACAATGTGGGTGCTAGGAACCAAACCCAGGTCCTCTGCAAGGGCAGCCAGTGCTCTCAGCCACTGAGCTGTGTTCCCAGCCCTTAACTGCTGAGTTTCACCTTGAGGAGAAAATCCCGCTTTCCATAGTCATTCTTCCAATTTGTAATCCTATCAGCAATGCATAAGAGACCCTGAAAATCCAACATTTCATATCATCAGCGGTTTTGTGGTTGTTTTTAAGATTCTGTGCTAGTTTAAAAGTTATAAAATGTGATTTTAAAAAAAAAGATAGTTAACCTAAATTTAATTACAGAGGTCTAAGGATTCAGGGAGTTGGAGGTGGGGTGGGAGCTTCACCAGTTACAGCTGCTGGCAGAAAGCAGAGACCTTTTCACAGTTCTAAATGTTTGTTAAAACCTTACCTGGTGGCTCAGGCCTATAATGTAAGCTACTTGGGAGACTGAGGCAAGAGGATTGAAAGTTCAAGGTCAGACTGGGCAATTTAGTGAGACTTTGTATCAAAATAAAAGGTGAAAAGAGGACTAGGGATGTAGCTTGGTGGTGGAGCTTTTGCCTAGCATGCGGGACACCCTGGGTTCAGTCACCAGTATCAAAACCCCAAACTTTGCCTAGAATTCCATCAAACTTGCATGCTGCACTCCCTCATCCAGTGGACTGCCCACAAACCCCACACTTTCCCTATTTCTTGTTTTCCTGCTCTCTTCTCTATAGCAAAACCAGATTCAGAGTAAAAAGCTTGGCACTGCCCACCTCCAGGCTGTCACTAAGGAAGTACTGGGTAGTTGGTGGTGTAATCCTAGCACAGGCAGGTGGATCTCTGTTAAATTGAGGCCAGCCTGGTCTACATAATGAGTTCCAGGCCAGCCGGGGCTACAGGGAGACGCTGTCTTAAAAAAAAACAAAAACCAATAAAACCACAGCAAACACCACCCCCCAACTAAACAACAATAAAAACAAGGTGGACAGTGCCAGAGGACAACACACACACACACACACACCCGACACCTGTCCTTTTCTTTCAGAATTTTCAGAGCATATGAATCTTGTCTGAGGTCCTGGAGCCTCCTGCCAGCCCTCAGTCCTGGGAACCTTGAGCCATTGTAGTCACAGAGCAAGAGAACATTGCCAGAGTCACCCAGGGGAGACCTGCCTTGCTATAGCTGTAACCTGACTCAGGCTATAAAACCTGCCTGCTGAGGTGGGTTGGAGCCACAGAGCTATATTAAGAAGAGCCTTCTGTCTTTGCACTTTCTAGAAAATTGCTGGTAATTTGAATCACATGACTAATGTTTATTCTCTACTGAAATTGTCCTCTTTCATGTCCATCTTTTAAAAAATTATTAAAATCACCTTATTGTGATAAACTCACAAATAAAATAATCACATAGTTACATTGCTACACAGTATCAATGGCTTCAGCAACTCTCCATGTCCTTCTCCCAATCTTTCATGCCTTCAAAACATTACAAGCCAAGTTTGGCTTCCAGCTTGAGATGCAGCATTGCCCCACCTCCCCCAACTTCTATGTGCTGAACCAGAGAAAAGACTTCCCAGATTTCACCTCTATGATGATGATCTCTTATCAGTCACAGTTATTCAGCCCTAGCTGACCAGCATTAATTGTCCCAGTAAAGCATGAAAGGTTTCACTACAGTGGTGCTGGTCTCTTGTTAACTGCAGCTGGATCTTGAGCCCCAGCTGACCAGCAACCATAGATTTTTTTTTTTTTTCTGGTCTTCTTGAGACAGGGTCTCCCTGTAGCCTCCAGGTGTCCTGTAACTCCCTATGTAGACCAGGCTGGCCTTGACTTCATGGAGATCCTCCAACCTCTGCCTCCCAACTGCTGGGATTAAAGGCATGTGCCACCACACCTGGCATCACAGATTCTTAATCCAAAGTATCACACAAACAGCCTCAATAGTCTTTGCTTCCTTTTGAAATGTCACAAGCCTGGCTTCCACTGCCTGCTTTTGTCTCAACATTCTTGTCTTCCAAGCTCCCACAGACCAGCCCATTAAGCTCTGAGCATGCAATGG